CAAGAACTTCACATTCTATATTTAGAGAGCAGCATTCGTTATTTCAATTCTAAGTAAGAATTCCAGATCGAAAGCAAACCACTGTGTTTGACCGAGAATGGTTTTTTTTCAGTTTTGGATTGATGAATATTTCTCTAACACGTGATCATGATTTGCAGCTAGTTGGAGAACGTTTCCCAGTAACGTGCCTGGTCAATACATATTGTGTATATTTGGCTTTGTGTCTCTTTTTTCAAAACCACTGAACTTGCAGTGATGGAAGATAATACTTTCACAGTAAGAATGCTTGTTTTAATATATGATCTAAAACATTTCATGGGAATGTCACGGAGGGAAAGTTGATATCAAGTACATCAAAACGAGTCGATAAAGAAATACAACTTAAAACAGTCAACAGTAATAATTTCGAATAATCATGGTGAAATTCTATTAGAATTTTTCTGTCTGTCCTCTTTTACTGTATAATGTTATAAACAGTAAAAGGCAGTGTCCTGAATGTAGAAAGTTCACCTACGATCCCCAGTGTGAAAGAGATGAATGATGGATTTGATTGTGACGTCATAGTAACGAAACATACTAGGGGTCGGCAAAGCATTTTGATGCAATTTCATTGCCGCAATATCTCACTTCAGCGATGAAAAAATGTTAATTTTCAAATGCTTTTCCCTGCGTATGCAAAATTGATGACAATAAAGCACGTTGTGAACAAACCCTTTCAAAATATCGATTAAAAACCGTTTTACTGGAATTAAAAACGTTTCATTGAAAACAATACTTTGAAACGTTCATCATCTGCGATTTCACAATTAGAATTTCTTGCATTTTAAGGCTTGGGTTATCAAGATCGATGATTCATGCAACTGTCATAACGATCTCGTCTCTCTTATATTCAGAATAATATCAGGTATTCCCTTTAACATTCTTCAGTGAACATACCCAACTCCAGTCTCAATTCACCTTTCAGTTAAAATTCCCAGTAATAATATGTTGTTGTTATAATAGGTATGTATGTTGATACATCTCAGTTGTAAAGCGACAAACCAAAGAAACTCACTTTCGTGGATAACTGTACCCTACCTTGTATTCATTATGCGTTCTGTCTTGCTAATCAACAATATGCAGTTTGAACTACTTCAGGAATCCAATTCCGAAATCGAGAAAGCATTTAATCTGAAAAGGTCAATTGTTTTCAAAAACGAAAATCTCAATATAAGAAGATTACATACGATTGAACTTATAAAATTACAACTTATGTTTCATCATCATTTATTATCGCTTAAGGCCACCGGCCCATAACAAAAATTACATAAGGAGAATATGTGTACATAACAGTGCGCAGGCAATACGAGTCATTTTAACAAGATGTTCTAAGCATAAATGCATCATAAATATACTGAACTGTGTTATGAATTATAACATCATTGTTAGTGGTCATTAACATAAACATATTATGAAACAATGGTTTGTAAAATAACTTTTGTGGGATAGAAGTTTGTCTCAAGAACATGGAATGAAATGCATGCTCAATACTTCCATTTGTACAAAGCTTACAATATCTTTCTTCTCTACAAACACCAAATGCCTATCCTTTCAAATTCCAGACGCACCACACCACATCTAAAGTTAACCAGTATACGCCTGAATTAATAGTCACAGCTTTCAAATATCTCTCTGGTTCAAAACTTGTTTTAAAAGTACGAAAGGTAGAAAGTTGTAGAAAGTAGATGACGAATCGAGTCTAAGATAAATACATCTCTTATCCTTTGTGGTATAAAATTGCTTCTTTATTTTCAACAGCCTTATTCAACCATACGAACACGAAGACGTTAGAACATAACATATTTCTTACAGCGGTTACCCAGTTTGTTTTTCCGGATTCATCATAGAGAAGAATAATATTGTAGCCTTATTTAACATAACGGTATTCGGGCATTGTTGTCAATTTCAACCAATATTTAATGAATTTATTAACGTATAAGTATATATAGGGTAACGGCCACACTCGCCAAGAACGGCATGAGAATTAGGTTTCTTGTTCACTTGCAAAAATGTCATGCAAGCAAAAATATTGATTCTTTCAATTTTGTCAAACTTGGCCCCAGATTTCACACCCATAGCCTAATATAGGCAACACCTTAGTATATTTCTTTTTGAAAAATACATCTCTGTTAATACCACGTATAATTTTGATTACAACTTTTGTTATATCAGTATTCCGTCCATTGGAAATATATCACATTTCCGAATAACATTGCAGCTATGTTCAAAACTAAGATAAAATTCTAAAAGAAAACAAAACGCCCAAACCTCATGTACATGTACATCAATTAGCGATGGATTTGTTTCGAATCATGCAAGATTCTCATATGTACAAATGCCTAGCCTTGGTCATCCGTCATGACCCTGATATTGCACGTGCATCCCGGTATGTCATTAATAAATTCTCCACACCTCCGCAGTACTAATGGGGCCGGGATGAATGAACCGTGCAAATCATCGAAGTGTTTTAATTGTTTGTTTAGAGCCAAACTTCGTAAACGTTATGCTATGAATGTCTGAAAATGGGTAATTTGCATGTAAATGGAATGCCTGAAGCTGGAATTTGATCCAAACAGTTACGTTGTTGCTATGCGTTTTGGTGGTCATAGTAACACCATACACTCACTGCATCGTCGCTAACAAGCTGGCAAGACCAGGGACCGACCACGTTTCTGTCGTCAACGAGTAACGACGTCACGTCGGCAGGATAATCTCATCCCTCTCTGAAAATAGTTTCAGACTTGGACAGCCCCAACTCCATGGGCAAAAACGTTGAGGAATTGATCATGTGAGCAAAACATCCGATCCCGAGTTTTGCTGCCACGTCACTGTACAACACACCTAACATGATCAAGACCCCAGGTTACAGAAGTGAAGGTTGATGCTCTTCACAGATATGTCCAGATGTAATCCCGACGGCAGTGTTAGCCGTCAGCGTGTGGATAACCGTCGGAGAGAACGTTACCCTGAGCGTGTGTTGTTCAACGTGTATTGCATTCGGTGTTGGGGGTGTAGTGGTGTGGGTGTATTACTGCCATCCAGAGGCAATCGATGGCATCTTGGCAGGCGCACGATACTGGCTTATGAACTGACAGTTGAACCCATGCAACTTTAAGCAAGACATGACCTTTACTGAGAAATTATCTGACATTTCCCGTGATAGTCAGTTATGCACAGGAACATATTTCCGTTATAAAGCCACTGGCTTCTATGTCTATCACCATCCGTTGTTACATAGATACAAGGTGATCATTGTAAGATTTGGAGGATTATTACGAGCTGCCCACGTCGTTCCATTACGGTTGTAATTCATTAAGATGTTGATGAAATTGTGATGATGAATATTTTCGTAAAGGCTGTGAACGTTACACGGCATTTTTTTTACAACAAATCTATTTTCTCGTTTGGAATTTACAAACAGTTTCGGCTATTGTATTTTACGTTTTATATTACATAATATTCAGGAAATAGGATTTGAATGAAAAACTCCTCAGAGATAATAACATGATGATTCTTAGCTATCAGAGGTAATTCCAGTTGTAATAACGACATGTATATATTCATATCGAGCTTTCGACCAGTATTGGTGAATCATGATTTGCATGTCATGATCACATGACGCATTTGTTTTCTAAAATAGCGAGTGGTGTTGTTTCAAAACGTCTGAAATAACATAAACACCAACACCATGGCATTTCACTGAAGCTGTTTGTTCCAAAATATTATCCATATTCTTGAACCAATTGATTACAGTGTATATTATTTGTTATAAAAGAACCTCAAAGTACCCCAAAACAATATCTATTATTATACGTATTTTGTATTCAGAGTTTTCTAAATTACAATGCTGAATGAACTCATGAAGGTTTCTACCCAGATCCGTATACTTTGGTAACCCAAAGCATGATTGTACATATTTTTCAAATTGCATGGTCTTTGCAATCAAGATTTCACCATCAAACACCCGGTCAAGACAGAAAATATGTGTCGGAGACATTTACTAAAAATTATGCGTGTTTTGTCAGCATATTATCCATGTTATTGCTCATGATGCTTATGACTGGAGTGTCTAGTCCAGATTTGATTTACAGGCAGTGTGCGAAATAGTTTCTAAATTTTGCTCACCAGTCGGGCTAGCTATGCTTGAAAGTTACTAGCCCACAAAATAATTCACTATTCCGAAATTTAAATGTAGAAACTAAGCAAAATATTACATAAACGTAAAATACCATGATTTATCAGGCCATAATCTTGCATGATTAAAAGTGTATTATAACTTAACAAGTTGGAAAGAGTAATATATTTTAAAAATGACCCCATGAAAATTCACTATCCAGTCAGGCCAGTGTCTGTGGAGATTTACTGGCCCGATTGGATTTTTACTATCCACGGGCCAGCGGGTCAGTGGGCCAGTGACTATTTCGCACACTGTTTACATTTCGCAGGGGTGTTGCTGGATGCAGCATCAGGCCACAAACATGTGTGAGTGCCGAGGTTTACCGTTAGGACAGGATATCCTCAGTCATTTCGCGAACACCTGGTGTCTTGACTGGTTTCAAGTGATCTATTCACATTCATCAATGTCGAAACGTCGCCTATACAGAATAAAGAAGTTGTATATCTACAAAAATAGTCCTCATTCTTCATCTACCCATCTTCTAGAATGCCAATCAAAAAAGTGATCTATTCACAGTTTTTGCCTATTTCTCTCATAAATGAATCCAGACAAAAACATGACGAACTTTACAAGACAAAAATTTACATTTCTAAATAACCCTTAATGATGGCGCTTTCATAACCTTTTTGAATCTAATTACGTTCACGAGTTTGTGCAATTTGACTCCCCTCTATAATAGCAATTGGAAATGGTGTACATAAATGTCATGAAAGTAATCAGAAGCAATCTGAAAATCTGTGTATTCTTATTTGATATTATGTTTCCCACAAACTCATTGGTAAAGACTATCAGTTGTCCGACTTCCATTTTTGTGGAAGCCGCGGTGGCTGAGCCAGTTAGGCGTCTGACTTGCAATTGGCGATTACTCTGAGAGTGTGGGTTCGAATCTCGGATGGGACTCAACCCAACAAAAGTACTAGAATCTGTACTGTCTATACTAAGAAAGTGTAATCCCAAATATAAAATATGTTACATTTGGTCAATTTCAAATTGGCATGGTGATTTCAAGCAGAATAAGGGATTATAGTTTTTGTCAAACAAAGATTCTTACATATAACCAGATGGGCAAAGACGTGTGAAGAATATGTAAAGGACGCATTTAGTTTTGATGGAATGAAGTTTTTCTTTCTGCTTTCCTCGAGGGGTTAGTGTACGTTTGTTCTCGGTTGCACTAAGAAAACTTAAAACAGCTTATCTTTTGATATCCAGATGTGCCTTTTGTCACTTGTCTCGCCAACCCTTTTGTAGAAGATTCAAAAGAGTTCATAAAAGATGACCACACTACCCAGTAGAAGTGACAAGACAAATCAGTTGTTCTCGCCAAAAAAGCCAGACTAAACAAAGCACGGGAAGACACCAAGTCAAGGTATATATTATATTATCATTGAGATGTGAATGTTGGAAATGTCCTCCTTATGTCTACCCTAAAACGTTCTGCGTTTTAAGTTTTAAGAAAACGTTTGCCTAAATCTTTTGATTTCAATAAAACAGGTTTAAAAGTAAAAGTTTTGAAAACATTGCTGAAACCATAAATGTGGTAATCCTGGTCAAACGATGTTTGAGTAAGGTCTGTATGAATACAGTCAAACCAGTTTCATAGATGCTTTATGTGTGTGTCGAGGTGTCCTGCTCATTTGCTTGCAGACAGACATTTGCTTGCTACCGCCACTTCTACTTTCACTTTTTATAAATGATAATGAGCCCTTTCTACTGAAACGAGGAAGTAAAGGTGTTAATCTAGAATACCAAACCGAAACCGAATTGATACTTTGCCTGCAGTTTATTGTCTTGCTATATGCAGATGCTGCTGTCGTATTCAGTGAAGACCCTGAAGACTTACAACAATCACTCGACACTTTCCATGTATATTGTTCACGATGGAAACTAAAAGTAAACTTGTCCAAAACCAAAATAATAGTTTTTGGAAGCGGGCGTGCTAAAAACAGTAAACTAAAATATAGATTCACGTTCGGCAATCAAACTATAGAAATTGTTGATACTTATACCTACCTTGGAATAAAGTTACACAGAAACGGGAGATTTGTAGAAGCCATTAAAGTCTTAGTAGAAAATGCAACAAAAGCTATGTTCTTATTATTAAAAAAAGCACGACGAGTTAATCTACCGTTGGACTGTTTAATATCGGCATTTGACACTTTGATTGCTCCGATCCTAATGTACTGCTCTGAAATCTGGGCATTTGAAAACATAAAACTAACTGAAAAAGTTCATTTAAAATTTCTTAAATTGGCAGCAGGTCTTCGAAATTCAACACCAAACTATATGATTTATGGAGAACTTGGTAGGGAACCCCTCTACATCAAAATATACAAACGTGCTATTCTATTCTGGCACAAAATGGCAAGTCATAACGAAACTCCAAAACTAACAAATATTATCTACAGATTTATCACCAGTAATTTCACTGACAACACTGAAAAACTACTACGGACAACGTTCGTTAAGAAAATATTAAATAACTGTGGATTAGGTGAAATATTTGACATCCGTTTATATGTTCTTCACCGTGGTTAGCTTCAAAAGTTGAAGAAATATTGAAAGACCAGTTCCTGCAGAACTGGCATAGCTCCATTACTGAAGGCCCGAAAGGTGTGTACTATAAAATGTTTAAAGAAAATATAAGTTTTGACAAAATACCTTTATCTACCTAAAAACGTCGATTATCCAATCTTGAAATTTAGAACAACAAATCACAACCTACCAGTTGACACCGGACGCTGGTCTGACACCCGAAGAGTGGAACGTTTGTGCCATCTATGTAATTCCCCGGCGGTTGGTGATGAGTTCCACTACCTGTTCAGGCGTGAAGCTCTTCTCCCGCCGCGGTCTATACACATACGTAAAGATCTCTACGAATGGCCTAATATGTTCAAGCTAAATATATGTTTATCTAGCACCAGAGTGAAAAATGTGAAACACCTGTCTAAATTCATCAATTTCATCTATAGATTAGTTGCAGCTGCATGGGAATCCTGTTAACTTATTCGGTCATATTCCATTGAAAATTTCACTATATATATGTATTTACCTTATATTGCTGTCATCTTGATTGATTATATTATCATATGCGAATATATATTGTACTTTTCTCATGTACCACCGTTGGTGGGTTCTTTTGAGAATAAACTGTCTGTCTGCCTGACAGACAGAGAGGGGGTAGGAATATAGCGTAAGACAAGTTACGTAGATGTGCATTGTGTGTGTGTCGAGGTGTCCTGCTAATTTACTGACAACCCGTGAAGGTCCGGGTTAGAATGTGCCTTCAATAACCCATGCTTGTCGTAAGAGGCGACTAATGGGATCGGGTGGTCAGGCTCGCTGACTTGGTTGACACATGTCATCGGTTCCCAATTGCGCAGATCGATGCTCATGCTGTTGGTCACTGGATTGTCTGGTCCAGACTCGATTATTTACAGACCGCCGCCATATAGCTGGAATATTGCTGAGTGCGGCGTAAAACTAAACTTACTCACTCATTTACTGATATGGGATATACAGCTAGACACATTACAAATGTGTGTGTCAGCGCGTCCAACTTTACTGCGAGTCTGAAACTTCAAGCTCTATGGTTAATGTTTGTACTAATGATTCAAAGTCAATTATTTCAAGGGGACAGAAAATTACGACACGTTGATCAAATGCCTGTTTACAAGTGTCCTTTTGGTCTGGCGATACCAAGTCCAAGCATATTTCTCACACTGCGGTCAATGTACTTTGCTCAGCTGGCGGTCGGGGACAGCAAGACACATTACTCTTTGTGTCAGAAGAGTCCCTTGAGAATCGCGCATCATGACGGAACTCAACAACTGGTGGGGTCTCTCAATCTAAGTTGCCTGGTCATGGCAAGAATATTGATAAAACTGTTGCTTTCTTGAGGCATTTATACATCTCCACTGGAAATGTGCCTTAGCCTGTTCCAGTTCTCCCAAATTAGTTAATCCGAGTAAGCTACAGGCTTGGGGCAGTGTGTACGATTATGAGAAAATTGGTATAATTCCGTTACTGTTAGTGTTATGTGATGGAGCCTGGGGTCGAGAGATATTGAAACAGAGTCTGCTGGTCGATAATCAGTCCTCTACTTCCCACAGATAAAGAACATAGATCCTGCTGCCCATACGAACAGTAGCTGGATGCCAGGCCCATCCAGGCACATTAAGTATCCGAAGTAATTGCAGAATACAGATCCAGTATGAGGCTATGCTATTCTTAATCAAATTAAGTGTGCGCAATTTTTTTTCCCAGAAAGAAAGGAAGGGATTTCGGTTAATGAATGCCGAGTGAATGGTCATTCAGCCGACCTTCTCGTTGTGGTAAAAAGGGAGCGTTCTCAATCGGTGATTGATTGAACAGGTACGCTGAAGAAATTTGATTCAAAGGCCACAGTTGTGTGTCTGAAGGGACTGGGAACAATGGACCAACTTTAGACACAACTCGGACGCACGGTAGCTAATACTTGACTTCGTCATCGACAACAGACATGTCCCAACAGATGCTCCCTGGTGGGGAAGGCTACAGTGACGGAATACATAACAAGCAAAGTACTAAAACTACTTTCACAACACAACGGGTGCATGCAGTGGGGAAGATTCAGCATCCTTCCTCCAGTATAATTAACACCGGAACACCAAAACGTATGTGTGCGTCATCCAGTATTGTCCCACAAACCCCAAAGTCGGCTCTGTTAATGGAAATGAATATTACAAATTTAATTTGATAATTAGAAAATGGTGCGAGACTTGCATAACATCAAGGCATATGAAATATATTGATATTTTAATACTAGTAAGAATGAAGATTGCTGTCACTCACCATCATTTGTGTATCATAACAACGGTTCGTGGTTTATAAACGTACAATTAAGTACAATGTATGTTCATTTTCCCACTCATCCAATTACAGAGAAATCCTGTGAAGCCCTATCTTGGAAATGGCAGCAGTTTCCCTCACTGTGGAGACCCGTTTCCCCCAGCGCTAAGGTCAAGGATGTGAACTCGCCAGTACATCTGACAGGAAGTAGGTTAAAGCAGGATAGAGATAAACCTGGGACATCATGCTCGGTATTGACATGGAACAGGCGAGAAAAGTGGATCATATAGAGTTGATAATCTCTTTGTGATCCTGTCTCCATGGAAGCTGATTACACGATATTGGAGAATGTGTTGATTGGAGCTACTGTATCTGTTATTTTTTACTACGTTTCACTTTGGGCTGCAGATCGACCCGTTATGGATGGAAGGGGAACCTAAAATAAGGACTCCAGAAGAAACCATTTTGAAATAGCAAGACCGCGACTCACATGAAAAAAATTATATGTATCTATTTCTAATAAGAAAGTCTATTTTCGGTAAAGTACATTCGGGTTTTCTAAACCATACTGACGGCCAAAGAAATGTATGCACCTATGTTTGATGTTTAACAAATAGAAACACATAATGGTTATTCGATCGCGATGTGTATGATACAGGACAAATTTCTAATGTAAGTTTTCAGCGTCAATGCGACCTGTTTCAGCATGCAACGTATTGATAACGCATATTTTTGCCAAATGCATGTTTTAAGTGCATACTTTCTTTACCCTCACAGTCCACGCAGACCAACCAAGCTCCACAACAGCTGACAAGAAGAGTCGTGCTGTTCCACCTACAAACAAACGTTGTCAATAACATCAAGACTAAACTTGACTAATGGTGACAGAAGCGTTATCGGCACGGAAAGACTGACACTAATGAGTTACCTATTGATTCAAAACCATTTAATAGGTATGAGAGGTGTTCATACTGGAACCAAATATCTTGGTGGTAAAAATACGCTGTTGCTGTGACAAGTATTTTCACTGAGAAAAAATTGGAAAGGTACGAATAGTACATTGCATACATGTAAGCTTCAGTGTGATGAATAAACAT